TAAATTGAACCACTGTGCAGTCAGGAACCATCTATAGCAAGTGCTGATTTAGCTATTATCTCAGTTAATTCTAACATAACCCTATGAAATAGCATTGTCCTCCATTTTGCAGATGAGAAAAATGAGGCTTCGGTCAAGGAATAGTTCAAGTACCCAGTATTCCATGAGTGGCATTAGTGAAGTGTCAGCCTTTCCAGCTAAAGAACAGAGTGTCTGCAGGAGTCCCGTGTCTGGCTCCATCTGGAGAGCTTTTAAAAAATAAACAGTTCTGGGCCGGCCATGGTGGGTCACACTTGTAATCTCAACACTTTGGGAGGTCAAGGCAGGAGGATCACTTGAGCCCAAGAGTTTGAGACCAGCCTGGACAATATAATGAGACACCATCTCTAAAATATTTAAAAAAAAAAAAAAAATCCCGGTCGGGCGCAGTGGCTCATGCCTGTAATCTCAGCACCATTGGGAGGCCGAGGCAGGCAGATGACCTGAGGTCAGGAGTTCAAGACCAGCCTGACCAACATAGAGAAACCCTGTCTCTACTGAAAATACAAAATTAGCCAGGCATGGTGGCACATGCCTGTAATCCCAGCTGCTCGGGAGACTGAGGCAGGAGAGTCACTTGAACTCATGAGGCAGAGGTTGCGGTCAGCCGAGATCGTGCCATTGCACTCCAGCCTGGGCAACAACAGTGAAACTCTGTCTCAAAAAACAAAACAACAACAACAACAAAATTCCCAAGGTCCACTGGGCCAAGGAATCTGATTCAGTGGGTGGGGGATAGTGTTGGGACAGCTGCGTTTAAAAGGGCATCTCCAAGAGAATCCATCAAGAGATTCCATGCTGCCTCTTGGTGCAGCATGGGTAGAAAACAGGGCTGGGGAGGCAGGTGGAACCAGGTCCCAGAAGGCCACAGATGCCCAGCTGGGTGTTTGGATTTTATTCTGTGACAGCAAACACCCTCACAATTTGATACTTTAGAAGCTCCCAAACTTTAATGTATCACCCAGGTGTATTATAAATGCAGATGCTAACTCAGTAGGTCTGGGGAAGGGCCCAAGAGTTGCAATTCTAACAAGCTCCCAAGTGAAGTTGATGCTGCTGGTCCCCAGACCACACTTTGGATAGCAAGGCTTTATAGAACAGTTCCCAAAGCGGCTGGGTGCAGTGGTTCACGCCTGTAATCCCAGCACTTTGGGAGGCCAAGGTGGGCAGATCACGAGGTCAGTTCGAGACCAGCCTGGCCAACATAGTGAAACCCTGTCTGTACTAAAAATACAAAAAAAAAAAGAACAATTCCCAAAGTATGTTATGAGGAACATTAATTTTCAAATGAGGGGTTTAAATGTGAAATGAGTTTGGGAAATGCTGCATGCCCGGTCCCACAATGCATAGCAACATCTGTCAGGCTCTAGGAAGACTAAAATGTGGTGAGTCTGGAGGCAGGAAAAGCAGTGAGGAGGTTGGGGGCATCATTTGGGTCAGAGGAAGGGGCCTGAGCAGGCCTGTGGAGAGGAGGGACAGATGCCAGGTGAGGGAGCAGGAGGAGACACCAAGAGGCCTTTATGGACCTAAACCTCGGGTGACAGGCAGGAGGAATCATTAACAAGGCAAAGAAGTCAAGAGGGTGGCAGCTGAAGGCATCTGACAGGCAGAGAAGACCAGTGTGGCTGGAGTAGGGCGAGTGAGGCCAGAGGAAGGGGCAGAGCCCCGTCACACAGGGCTAGGAGCATGTGGGGCTCCATGTTAAGGTCACTGACGAGCCGATACAGTGGTGTGATCCCCTTTACTTGTTTTTTTCAGGCATGGTCTCACCCGGTTGCCCAGGCCGGAGTGCAGTGCAACAATCATGGTTCACTGCAGCCTCGACTTCCTGGGCTCAAACAATTCTCATGCCTAAGCCTCCCAAGTAGTTAAGACTACAGGCGCCTGCCACCACATAGAGATGAGGTCTTACTGTGTTGTCCAGGCTGGGCTTGGGCTCCTGGGCTCCAGTGATCCTCCCACCTCAGCCTCCCAAAGTGCTGGGATTACAGGTGTGAGCTACTACACCTGGCTAGGTTTACATTTTTAGACTATCCCTTAGGAAGTGGTTGGAGAGTAGCAAAAGTGTGTTGTTTGGTAGAATATTTCTGGAAGGAAACTTCAGACTAGTAACAGCAGTCTTCCTTGCAGGCAACCTGGGAGACAGGGATAAATGGGAGACTCCCTGTTTGTAACATACCCCTTTGTACTTTCTAAATTTTATACTAGGTACATGTATTCATCATTGGCTGAATAAATAACTTTTACAAAACTCATTCTTATAAAAGAGAAGGTTGGGAGGAGCTACCAGGTAGCAACTGCAGATGTGTGAGGAAGAGCTTATGGTAATTAGGACTGGGTGCCTGTGGTGGAGTCAAAGCAGACCAAGTCAAGAGACGTTTAGGACAATGAATTAATTGTGGAGAGAGACTGAATGTGGAGGTGAGGACGTAGGAAGCAGCAAGGATGATTCCTGGCTTCTGGGCTGAGTCGTAGGATGGATGAAGTGCGGTGGGAAGACTGGGTAAACAGGTTTAGGAGAGAGGTAGGTTACGGAGGAGGATGAGCTTGGTTCCTGACAAGGTGAGTTTGAAGCATCTCTGGGATATCAGGTGGAGAGTGAGCTGGCACCTAGGGATAGATTTGGTTGTATCACCCCAACGGGGATGGCAGGAGTTCCAAGATTAGAAAGAGTTGCTGAGAAGGAGCCGGATGGGAGAGGAGAAGCACCTTGGGGTGATGGAATCCCTGGGGGCTCCTGATCCAGGATGGAGGGAACTACAAGAGACACAGGAGATATTGGCAGAGTGTTGTCAGATAATCTGAGGGACAGAAGAGAGAAATAGGGTCGTGGTACTGGGAGGCCAAGGACAGTGAGTTCCGGGAAATATTCTGGAGCAGTGACAAGGATCACAGGTATCTTAGAAAGAACCATTTGTCCTGTGGGTGGGGGCAAGAGCCAAACTACAAAGCTAGACTAATGGAGGAGGCCTCTAGTCAGGCAGGGGGCTCACAGCCCTCCCCCACCTCATCCCACAGACGGAGTGCTTTAACCATGTGCGGTTCCTGCAGCGGCTCAATTCCACCCACCTCTATGCATGTGGGACTCACGCCTTCCAGCCCCTCTGTGCAGCCATTGTGAGTATACCTGTGCTGTGCCAGACTTCAGTAGGGATGGCACCATGTTCGAGATGCCACAGAATAGACTCAGAACCAGCGAAAGACATGTATTTTTGTTGTTGTTTTTTGTTTTGAGACGGAGTCTTGCTCTGTCACCCAGGCTGGAGTGCAACCTCCACCCCCTGGGTTCAAGCAATTCTTCTGCCTCAGCCTCCTGAGTAGCTGGGATTATAGGCACACACCACCATGCCCAACTAATTTTTGTATTTTTAGTAGAGATGGGGTTTTGCCATGTTGGCTAGGCTGGTCTCAAACTCCTGACCTCAGGTGATCCACCCGCCTCGGCCCCCCAAAGTGCTGGGATTACAGGCGTGAGCCACAGCCGAGATGTATGGTTTATTAAGGGAACTTACATACAGCGCAGTCCAGTGGCAGCAGGCCGCACTGGAGAACCACTCCCCTTTATAAAAAGCATACAGTTTATAAAGCATTTTCATCCTCTCCTTAATCACCTCCACCTGGCAGACTTCATTTAACCCAAAACAAAGGGTCTTGATCCCCTGTATGGCATGTGTCCCCCAGGATGGAATAAGGGCTCAGATGTTCTTCAGAGACAAGGAATGAATCTCTGGGTTGGCCACTCCCAGATTTGGAACTCCAGACACACATTGCTTTTAGGCCATAAGGTTGTTCTCAGGGGATGTTTAAGTTATCGCTGCCAGGTGTGTCTGCCATACAACCTGCCCCAGCCCTGATCGCTGATCCCTGACCCCAGACTGATGTGACTTTGAGTCACTGTCCCTGCCTGTCCTCTGAACTACTTACTGCTGGTCCCTTGTTCCCTAGGATGCTGAGGCCTTCACCTTGCCAACTAGCTTCGAGGAGGGGAAGGAGAAGTGCCCTTATGATCCAGCCCGCGGCTTCACAGGCCTCATCATTGGTGAGCAGGCCCTCTTCCCTGGCAAAAGCATGGGGTTTTTAGGATGTGGATCTCATCTCTAGAATTTGCCACCATGTATGTCATGTGTCCCATTGTATATGACACGTGTCTCATGCCTGGAATGTCCCCACCCCAGATGGAGGCCTCTACACAGCCACTCGGTACGAATTCCGGAGCATTCCTGACATCCGCCGGAGCCGCCACCCACACTCCCTGAGAACCGAGGAGACGCCAATGCACTGGCTCAATGGTTAGGAGGATGGGGCACAGGGTGGTAGCGGGTAGGAGACTATTTCTTCATGTTTACTTCCTTGGGCAGCTGACTATCCACCCCCGAAGCCCCAGGTGAGCCTATCCATTCCATTCTTGTGTGTCATCAAGGGTGGGTCGGCCTTGGAGTAGGGGAAAGAGGTGCCCAGCCTGTCTCAAAAGCCTCTCAAGGCCAGGCATGGTGACTCACACCTGTAATCTCAGCACTTTGGGAGGCCAATGTGGGCGAATCGCGAGGTCAGGAGATCGAGACCATCCTGGCCAACATGGTGAAACCCCGTCTCTACTAAAAGTACAAAAAAAAAATTAGCTGGGCATGGTGGCGCACACCTGTAGTCCCAGCTATTCAGGAGGCTGAGGCAGGAGAATTGCTTGAACCCAGGAGGCAGAGATTGCAGTGAGCCAAGATCATGCCACTGCACTACAGCCTGGGTGACAGTGAAGACTCTGTATCCAAAAAAAAAAAAAAAAAAAAAGCCTCTCAAGCTGCCTGACCCACAGATGCTGAGTTTGTATTCTCCATCCTCGTGTGGAACGGAGTAGGGGAAAGGGGTCCTCAGCCTGTCTCAAAAGCCTCTCAAACTGCCTGACCCACAGATGCTGAGTTTGTGTTCTCTGTCCTCGTGCGGGAGAGCAAGGCCAGTGCAGTGGGTGACGATGACAAGGTTTACTACTTCTTCACGGAGCGTGCCACCGAGGAGGGCTCTGGCAGCTTCACTCAGAGCCGCGGCAGCCACCGTGTGGCCCGTGTGGCTCGCGTCTGCAAGGTGGATAGGGCTGACATTGGGGCATGGGTATGGAGTCTGGACCTCTGACCCTGGTCCCTTATCCCATGCCTCTACCTCCCCAGGGAGACCTGGGAGGGAAGAAGATCCTGCAGAAAAAGTGGACATCCTTCCTGAAAGCCCGTCTCATCTGCCACATTCCACTGTATGAGACACTGCGTGGGGTCTGCAGCCTGGATGCTGATACCTCAAGCCGTACACACTTCTATGCAGTCTTCACACTGAGCACACAGTGGTCAGTGTAGGGACCGTGGGGAGGCAGGGAACTGGGGACAGCATAAGGGCTGGAGCAGAGGTCAATGAGGATGAGAGAGGATCCACTGTGGGGAGGTCCAGCTGCAAAGTGAGAATTTTTTTTTTTTTTTTTGAGACGGAGTTTCGCTCCTGTTACCCAGGCTGGAGTGCAATGGCGCGATCTCGGCTCACCGCAACCTCCGCCTCCCGGGTTCAGGGAATTCTCCTGCCCCAGCCTCCCGAGTCGCTGGGATTACAGGCACGCGCCACCATGCCCAGCTAATTTTTTGTATTTTTAGTAGAGATGGGGTTTCACCATGTTGACCAGGATGGTCTCGATCTCTTGACCTCGTGATCCACCCGCCTCAGCCTCCCACAGTGCTGGGATTACAGGCTTGAGCCACCGCGCCCGGCCCCTGCAAAGTGAGAATTTTAAGCACATCAAGCTAGGCTAGAACCAGCAGATGAATACAATGGTCCACTGACCGACAGGAGAGCCCTTGGGACTACAGCTGGGGTTGGCCAGGGTAACAGCAAGCTTCAGGCTGAGCATGGGTCAGGGGGCCGGTTTGATTCCATGTAATTCGCCCCCCTGCTCTATGTCCCATTCTTAGGAAGACCCTGGAGGCCTCAGCCATTTGCCGCTATGACCTGGCCGAGATGCAGGCTGTCTTTGCAGGACCCTATATGGAATACCAGGATGGTTCCCGGCGTTGGGGTCGCTATGAGGGTGGGGTGCCTGAGCCCCGGCCTGGCTCGGTGAGTGTCCAGGCCTAGGGCCAGTGCTGAGTAGACAGAGCCCAGGGAAGGGCCAGAGGGTCTGGGCTTGTGGAGAGGGCAGGCAGGTGGTAGAGTCCCGAGGTTCATCACTCCCACCCCCCAACCCAGTGCATCACAGATTCCTTACGCAACCAAGGCTACAACTCATCCCAAGACTTGCCGTCCCTGGTCCTGGACTTCGTAAAGTTGCACCCACTGATGGCTCGGCCCATTGTGCCCACACGTGGACGGCCCCTGCTGCTCAAGCGCAACGTACGCTACATACACCTTACGGGGACGCCTGTCACCACACCTGCTGGACCCACCTATGACCTGCTCTTTCTGGGCACAGGTGCTTCTGATCCCAATCCCTGATTCCTGTTGGTCCTGATCATTAATGCTTCTGAATCCATTCATTCCTGCTATGACTAGTGGGGAGGTCCCAGTATCCTGGCTGAATCCTTGTTCTGGACCTCATGACTCCTGAGCTGTTCCTATTAGGCCTCTTGCAGGGTGCTGTGAGCAGATCCCATTGTTGCGGTCTGACTCTCTGCTCTTTTCATGCCAGCTGATGGCTGGATCCACAAGGCCCTAGTCCTGGGCTCTGGGATGCACATTATTGAAGAGACACAAGTGTTCAGGGAGCCCCAGTCTGTGGAAAATCTAGTCATCTCTCTATTGCAGGTAGCCCCTCTCTGTGACCCTTAATATAGCCTTGCTGAAACAGGAGGAGGGAGTGGGGAGGTTGGGCAGAGGCTGTGGGTCTGTAAGTCTGAGTAGGGGGTGTGGCCAATCAACTGTCCTATCTGGCTCCCAGCACAGCCTCTACGTGGGGGCTCCTAGTGGAGTCATCCAGCTACCACTCTCCAGCTGCTTCCGCTACCGATCCTGCTATGACTGCATCTTGGCCCGGGACCCCTACTGTGGCTGGGACGCTGGCACCCAGGCCTGCGTGACAGCCACCACCGCAGCTAACAGGTCCCAGGGCAGCAGGTGGGAAGTGGTGAGGGGTGAGAGTCACATGTGGCCTGAGTGGAGGAGAGAAGGCCTGACAGCTACTGGGGGAGAGCAGGGACTAGTTATTGCTAACAGACCTATCTACCCTTTCACTGGGAAACTGAAACCCAGTGCCACTTGTTCATGAAAGCTGATCTTCTGTCCCCAGGACGGCACTGATACAGGACATAGAGAGAGGAAATCGAGGCTGTGAGAGCAGCTGGGATACAGGTGAGTGACTCATAGACGAGTGTGGGTCTAGTTGAGCAGCCTGTCCTCTTTGCCATTTACTGTCATTTGTATGTGCATGTTTGTATCTGAGTGGCTGTGGCTATGTACATTTGGTAAGGATGACCCAAACATGGAGCCTGGTACAGAGTAAGTGCTCAACAAACATTTGCTGCCCAAATGAATTATAAATGAGGAAACACACTCAAGATGTGACATGTCTTGTCACCTCTGGAGCTTTCAGCCAAGTGTTGGATGACAAGGGTTCAGGAGGGTAATGGGTATTTCCCCAAGGAAGGTCAGATGACTGAGCTGATATCTGAAGAAAGAACAAAAGTTGGTCAGCATAGCTAAGATGTATTAAGTGTTTACTGTGTGCCAGGCACTAATCTAAATACTTCTATGCGTGATGTCATTTATTCTCACAGCATTCTTATGAGAAAGGTGCTATTATTATCCCCATGAGGGACCTCCCTGAGGCCCAGGGAATATAAATAAATTGCTCAAACTTATTCAGCTGTTAAGAAACTGGACCAGAATTCAAACCTGGCCAGGTACGGTGGCTCACACCTGTAATCCTAGCACTTTGGGAGACCGAGGTAGGCAGATTGCTTGAGCTCAGAAGTTAGAGACCAGCCTGGGCAATATGGCAAAACCCCATCTCTACCAAAAGTACAAAAACTAGCTAGGTGTGGTGGCACATGTCTGTAGTCCCAGCTACTTGAAAAGCTGAGGTGGGAGGATCGCTTGAGGCTGGGAGGTGGGGGTTGCAGTGAGCTGAAATCCACCATTGCACACCAGCCTGGGTGGGTGACAGAGTGAGACCTCATCTCAAAAAAAAAAAAGAATTCAAACCTGACCCCAAGCAGTCTGACTTGACTTTGTGCTTCTGGTCACTATACTATGCTATCTCCCACAAGTTAGCCAGGCAAGCAGAGGACATGGGGTAATGGGGTAACATGCAAGCAGAGGGAACAGCAGGCAGAGGGAGCCTGGTATGTTTGAATGGCAGAATAGGCTGGACAAGCAGGCAGAGACCACGTTGAAGATTTTGGTCTTTATCCAAAAAGCAATAGGAAACCTCTGAAGAGTTCTAGGCTGGAGAGTGGCAAGATCAGATTTGTGTTTTTAAAATACCTCTCAGGCCAGGCGCTGGTGGCTCACGCCTATAATCCTGGCACTTTGGGAGGCCGAGGTGGGTGGATCATGAGGTCAGGAGTTCAAGACCAGCCTGGCCAACATGGTGAAACCCTGTCTCTACAAAAAGACAAAAGTTAGCCGGGCATGGTGACACACACCTGTAGTCCCAGCTACTCGGGAGGCTGAGGAAGGAGCATCGCTTGAACCCGGGAGGCGGAGGTTGCAGCGAGCCGAGATCGTACCACTGCACTCCATCCTGGGCAACAGAGTGAGACTCCATCTCAAATAAATAAATAAAATAAAATACCTCACATAGAGAATGAATTACATGGAACCAGAATGGGCTTGCAGTCATGGAAGGAGAGAAATCAACAGGTCTAAGACAGATGTCGGAAACAGAATCATAGTGAGAGTTAGATACAAAGGTGAAGAAGGACTGGGCACAGTGGCTCACGCCTATAATCCCACCACTTTGAGAGGTTGAGGTGGGTGGATCACTTGGGGTCAGGAGTTCGAGACCAGCCTGGCCAACATGGTGAAACCCCGTTTCTACTAAAAATACAAAAACTAGCCGAGCATGGTGGCGCATGCCTGTAATCCCAGCTACTCAAGAGGCTGAGGTAGGAGAATCGCTTGGACTGGGCAGGCGGAGGTTGTAGTGAGCCAAGATCATGTCACTGCACTCCAGCCTGTGCAACAGAATGAGATTCCATCTCAAAAAAAAAAAAAAAAGTGAAGAAGAAAGAGAAGGGAGACTCCCAGGAGCTTCTGACTTAAGCAGCTGTGTGGCTGGTGGTGCCATTCACAGTGGTAGCAGCTCAAGGAAAGGACCCAGTGTAGTTTGGGAGAAAAGCTTTGGCCTTTCAGATGCCCAAGAGACCTCATGTGGGGATGCCCAGCACATGGTAGATATCCAAGCCTGGCATTCACGAGAGAAGTCTGAGGTAGAGATTAGGAGTTACTGGCAGATGGCAGAAACTGAAACCACAGGAGGGGATGAGAGCACTGAGAGAGCATGGAAAAGGGCCCAAGGCACTGCCTGCTTCCTGGGAAGGGCCAGCGTGAACCTTATGTGGAAGCATGAGCACAGAGCCTTGGTCAGCTGTCACTGTGATTCTGGGTTCTGTGCTTGGTGCCAGGGACTTGGCAGTGCACACACAGTCTGGGTTGCCATCTCCAATCCCTTCCTGGGCTGGGCCGGTACTGACCTCTCCCCCATCCCCCACAGGGCCACCACCACCACTGAAGACCCGCTCTGTACTCCGGGGTGATGATGTCCTCCTGCCCTGTGACCAGCCATCCAACCTGGCCCGGGCTTTGTGGCTGTTCAATGGGAGCATGGGCCTGAGCGATGGGCAGGGTGGCTACCGTGTGGGCGTGGATGGGCTGCTGGTGACAGATGCACAGCCTGAGCACAGTGGCAGCTATGGCTGCTATGCTGAGGAAAATGGCCTCCGCACCCTGCTGGCCTCCTATAGCCTCGCGGTCCGGCCAGCCACTCCTGCCCCAGCTCCGCAAGCCCCTGCCACAGCTGGGGCACAGCTGGCACCTGATGTGAGACTGCTCTATGTGCTCGCCATTGCTGCACTTGGTGGCCTCTGCCTCATCCTGGCCTCCTCCCTCCTCTACGTGGCCTGTCTGCGGGAAGGCAGACGAGGGCGCCGACGGAAATACTCACTGGGTCGGGGCAGCCGGGCAGGAGGATCTGCCGTGCAGCTTCAGACAGTCTCAGGCCAGTGTCCTGGAGAGGAAGATGAGGGTGATGATGAGGAGGGGGCTGAGGGCCTGGAAGGCAGCTGTCTCCAGATCATCCCTGGAGAGGGAGCCCCAGCCCCACCACCCCCACCGCCCCCACCGCCACCGGCTGAGCTGACCAATGGCCTGGTGGCACTGCCCAGCCGGCTGCGAAGGATGAATGGCAATAGCTACGTGCTCCTGAGGCAGAGCAACAACGGAGTACCAGCAGGGCCCTGCTCCTTCGCTGAGGAACTCAGTCGCATCCTGGAGAAAAGGAAGCACACGCAGCTCGTAGAGCAGCTAGATGAGAGCTCTGTCTGAGCCTAGCCTCCAGAACAAATGCTCTTCCAAGCCAGCCTGCCTGTCTCAGGCTGGGCCACTGCCTCCCTAACACAGCCACCAGAGCTTCATTCCCCCCACTCCATGCCCTCCTCCCAACTTTTTGATGTCCCTGTAGGGCTGGCCAGTCAGGCCCAGCCAAAGCCCCCTCCTCAGTTTCCACAGACCCACATGTGAGCAGCCCAGGCCCATCGGTGCTCCTCAGAGGTAGGTGCTCCCTCAGGACCAGGTGCCCTGCAGACCCAGAGCCAGTTCCTAGCCCCTTAACCTAAACACTTAGAGGAGAGGACTCCATCCTCCTGTTCTATTCATCTGCCCAAACCCTTTCTCTTTCTCCCAGGCAGGGCTCTGCAGGTCCATATGGCCTCAATGTCACCACCCTCTGCATGGCCCTGTGTGCTGGATTGTCCTGAAACCAGACAAGACCTCTGCCAGCCACCTAAGCCCTGCGTACATTCACAGGCACACGTGGAAGAATGTTTATCAGCTGGGCTGCAGTGCCCCCATCCTGACATTCTCCTGGTGCATTCTTGTTTCATCCCTGCTTCTGGACTTGGGGTACCCTCCCAATTGCCATATCCTATCTGGTCCTCTTCCCCAGCCCCAGCTCCGTGTGGTGACCTCTTTGGCAAGAGCTTGGGAACGGGCCAGCCTAGGGAGGTAAGACTGCATCACTCCCCTCCTCTCCCTTCCTGTGCAGCCCTTGTGAATCAGCCTCCCCATTCTCCTTGGTCATTCTCAAGAGTGTTAAGAGACAGAGCCCCAGGCATGTCCCATCCCCGTGCACATGTGGCTTAACACACACCTGTATCACACATGTGCTTACATTTCCACTCACATGTACCTTCTGAGCCACCCCTTGCTGCCTCAGAACTGTGTCTGTTGGATTTGGCCCATGGACATTTCAGAGGGAGATCCCCCTCCCATTTAGCTGTCCTCACAGGCCCTTCCCCAGGATGGATGACCAACACTGCACTCAATGAGCCAGCCTCTCTTTTGGGGGAATCAAGCTTTTGCTTCCCCTAGACTACAGCAGGGAAAGGGAGGACAAATCTGATGTCTCAACTGGCACATGAAGCCCGTTCTTGGAACTATGCAAAGGACAGAGGCTGGGAGTTTGGATGCTTAGCTCCTACCCTTGTCCTACCTCACCGGGGCACTTTCAGGGTCCAAGGGCCTCTGAAGTCTCTAGGCCCATATGGGACAATCAATCCTGACAACTCCCCCGTCCCCCTCGGGTGAGGATGACTGTTATTTTTGTAGCTGAGAACGTGGAATCCCACGGGTTTTTACTGCCCTTCACCTAGCCTCTCCCACCTCCACCCCACAATGAATGTATTTATTGTGAGAATGGCTACATTTCTTTAGGAATGCCCCCACTTACCACCAGGTGGGTGGAACAGGCATGTAACAGAGTGGGGAGCCTGGGCTCAGCTCCTCCCCCTGCTGTTGGTTAATAAACACCCTCTTTCCCCACAGCTATGAGTAGTCTGCTTCATCTAGATGGGCCCACCCCTGATCACCAGGGGCCAGGCTCAAGCCTATACAGAAGGTGCTGCAGTGATGTCTGCCTCCAGGGTTGGCCCTGCTCCCCAGTACAACTATTTGCAGAGGAAATTGGGATATTCAGCTTCCATCTTGACTCCCTGGCAGGCACACAGGCCCTTTTATTAGGGTTCACACTATTCATTAATCATGGTGTTAGGGCATGGCAAGAAAAACAGTTCAAGAATTCTTACAAGGGTTTCTAGATTTTTATTTTCTCTCATTTCCCCACCATCCCCCTCTTTAAAAACAACAAAAAACTAAGCCTAGAAAATACTCATTAGTCAGCCCTCCTGCCCTTCCCCATGGTTCTCAGCACCCCCCCACCAGCTGGCTCAAGGGACACAGATTTTATTTCTGCACAAAAAATGGGAAAGAGGTGTATAGCTAAGACCAGAGAAAGCTTGTCACCCAGGGCTTGGGCTGAGAATCACTCCCTTCTCCCATTCAGGGGTCAGGCCTATATTAACCACATGGCCTTTGATACTAACCACCCTGAGGGTTGTTATATGTTCTGCGTCTATTTTTAAACAATGAAATCTGGGGCCAGGGCTTAACATATGCACACACTTTGAAGTAAGACCTGAAATGACCTTGGGTAAGTTTATTAACCTCGGTTTTATAAATCCTTAAACAAACATTCACACAGATGTAAAGTGTCTAGCCCATCAGAGCAGAGAAGACCTCTCTATAGCTCAGTTGTTGTACCAACAAGATATCAGGGATTCTTCAGAAGCCAGCCTTGAGACCTCTCATTGTGTTTTGAGATCATTATTATCAATTTGGACTTCAAAAACAAGGGCCCTGTAAAACCCTTGAAATCTTCCTCATCTCAGGTTTTAGGGATGCCACCTGGATAAAAATTAAGGGTTCACAAAGGTCACTGCCCCCAGAAGCAGGCACTGGAAATAGGCAGCTCTTCTTTATCCCAAGCAGAACCTGTGTCAGCTTCCCCATTGATGGGTTACATTTGTCTACGTGGGCTTGGACTCCCAAAGAGGAAGAACCACCTCTACTGGAGAACCAGTCCAAAGCCTGGGGTTGCAGTTGGTGGGGCCTCTTCACTGTGCTTGCAGCTGGGCTGAGGCAGGATCCTGGGCCTCTCGGGGGCGTAGCCCGTGGAACGTGGTCGATTTGTTGGTGAAGGGGTGCCACTGGCCCTGGATGCTAGGGTTGTCGGTGTGGAAGGGCTTGCGGATGCGGATCACATCCAAGCCCGACTGGTTGGCCAGCTTCTGCACCAGCGTCGAGATCTCTTCGACCGACTTGCAGTGGATGCTCTCCTCGCGCACAGCCCCATTAACTGGCAGAAGAGAGGTGAAAGTGGGTGAGTGAGAGGAAGCTGGCCGTTGCGGCCAGGCGAGAGGGAAGCCAGCCGGCCGAGCCCCCGATCCCGCCCTCCAGCTTGAGCCCGGCCCCACTCACGGTATTCGGCCACTACTCTGGGCACGCAGCACGGACGCGAGTTCACATATATTACGACCCCTGGGTTCCGTCGGGCGAAGTCGATCACCTCCCGTTCCACGAACTCCCTAAGGGACCCGGGAGAGTGAGCAGTAAGACTCCTAGCCCGGGTCGACCTACCCGGGAGTCGTCGTCACCCCCATCGCCACCCCCGCCCGCGCCCGCGTACTTCCCTTGGCTCACCTGGCGCCGCGAGACGAGGGGCCGTCGCGGCTGACGCTGAAGCTCAGACGCTGCAGCTGCTGCACGTAGCGACCCAATCCGTTGTGGAGAACACTGGCCAAGAATCGGCTCGGAGTCCCGCGCGCAGTCATAGCTACTACTAAGCGGCAGCGGAACCCAAGCGGCTGAGAGGGCGGGACTAAACCTCGAGACTTCCGGTTCCGGGACGACGGCTCACGGAGTTTTGCTTCCGAGGTCAAGGCGAGTAGCGTGCGCGGGAGACTCACGTTGCCGGCGAAGTGCAGGAGACGAGAGTGGTCACTCCGGGCCGGGGGCGGCGCGGCGGAGCTCAGAGTAGTAGGGCAAAGTGAAGACACGGGGAACGATAGAGACCGGTATTCCTTTGGGCTCGGGAATTGGCAGGAGTCGTGTAGGGCGCTCTCGCCGCGTTGAGGTCCCAGTGAGGGGAAGGAGCAGCGGAAAAGGGTCTCTAGTCGGGGCCTAGGGCAAAGGGACTACAAAAAAGATGCCGATGGCTATAGAGGTGAGGACGACGAGGAGATGCTGTGGAGGGGCAGTAGAGGTGAGGAGATGATGCAGAGAAAGCGCAGTGAGGAACTGTATAATAGAGGGTCAGAGAGCTGAGGGGGTGGAGAGAAACTGTAACGGACCATAGAGGTGAGGGAGCCATTGTAGAGGGACATGGACGTGAAAGGGTCATGTAGCTGGGCATATGTGTGAAGTAGCAACAAAGAGGGTCTGAAGAGGAGACATTCATGGAAAGAAAGAAGGCACCTAGGGTGAGCTCCGCAGAGTGCTGCGTGGGGTATACCTAGAGTCTGGTCTATTGAAGGCACGCTAAGCAGGCACCTAAGGCATTTCAAGTAGTGAATTCCCACATTTGGCTAGGAATGTGGGTCCTCCTCCGAGGTGGGCACCCCCTCCGAGGTGGGAACCCCCTCCGTATCTTGCTACCCCAGCGTGGGGAGTGGATGGGTCGGAGGGGCCTGCCCCGAGGCTTGGCCCCAGGGCCTCCTCGCAGACGGTACAGGAAGGAGGCTCTCCCAGACTTGGAGATGCCAGTGTTGCCTGTAACTGCAACCAAAATCCGCCAGTATTTGCGGGAGCATGGGATCCCCTTCCAGGATGGCCACAGTTGCCTGCGGACACCGAGCCCCTTTGTAGAGCCTTCGAAGCTCAAAGACCAGACTGCTGTTACCACTTCTTTCAGCCTCTACATTGACAAGACCACAGGCTGCTTTCTCTGCATGACCAGCCTAGCAGAGGGGAGCTGGGAAGACTTCCAGGCTAGCGTGGAGGGGGAAGGGGATGGAGCCAGTGAGGGGCTTCTGCTTAGTAAGGCTCCAGAAGTTGAGGACAGTGAAGAGGTCTGGAGGATCTGGAACCGATCAGTACCTCTCTGGGAGCTGCCTGATCCGGAGGAGGTTCAGCTGGCTAATACAATGTTTGGCCTTACCAAGATTACAGATGACACACTCAAGCGTTTCAGTGTGCGATATCTTCGACCTGCTCGCAGTCTTGTCTTCCCTTGGTTCTCCCCTAGGGGCTCAGGATTACGAGGCCTGAAGCTACTAGTGGCTAAATGCCGGGGGGATGGAGTGAGCTACGAGGAAAGCACCATTCCCCAACCTAGTGCCTACCACAATCTGTTTGGATTACCACTGATTAGTCGTCGAGATGCTGAGGTGGTTCTGACGAGTCGTGAGCTTGACAGCCTGGCCTTGAACCAGTCCACGGGGCTGCCTACCCTTACTCTACCCCAAGGAACAAGCTGCTTACCCCCTGCCTTACTCCCTTACCTGGAACAGTTCCGGCGGATTATATTCTGGTTAGGGGACGACCTTCGGTCCTGGGAAGCGGCCAAGTTGTTTGCACGAAAACTGAACCCCAAACGATGCTCCTTGGTGCGGCCAGGAGATCAGCAGCCTCATCCCCTGGAGGCCCTGAACAGAGGCTTAAATCTTTCTCGTATTATTCGCACTGCCCTGCCTGCCTGGCACAAGTCTATTGTGTCTTTCCGGCAGCTTCGGGAGGAGGTGCTAGGAGAACTGTCAAATGTGGAGCAAGCAGCTGGCCTCCGTTGGAGCCGCTTCCCAGACCTCAATCGTATCTTGAAGGGACATCGAAAGGGCGAGCTGACGGTCTTCACAGGTAACCCTTTGAGAAATCACTACTTAGGGTAAAGGGGCAGAGGATCAGGAGACAAAAGCATGTGGGTTTGGGCCACTGACAATGTTGAACAGGAAGTTTGCCGCGTCCCTCCAGTGTTAAAGCCCTGACCTATATCTTGGTTTCAAGGGTGGGACTTCCTCCTCACCCAGGTCTGTTCCACCCGCTGCAGGGCCCACAGGCAGTGGAAAGACAACATTCATCAGTGAGTATGCCCTGGATTTGTGTTCCCAGGGGGTGAACACACTGTGGGGTAGCTTCGAGATCAGCAATGTGAGACTAGCCCGGGTCATGCTGACACAGTTTGCAGAGAGGCGGCTGGAAGATGAACTGGACAAATATGATCACTGGGCCAACCGCTTTGAGGACCTGCCCCTCTATTTCATGACTTTCCATGGGCAGCAGGGCATCAGGTGAGGCTCCCAGGTTTCAGGCACCTTGCTTTCCCAGACAGATTCCAGCACTCAGGAACCTTTGGTTGCTTTTCCAGCTCCAGCAGGAATTCCTTCAGCTCTTTATGTTTGGAGTTTTTCAAAGAATGACAGGGCAGGGTTGGGCACAGTGGCTCATGCCTATAATTCCAGCACTTTGGGAGGCTGAGGTGGGAGGATCACTTGAGCCCAGGAATTTGAGACCAACTTGGGCAATATAGGGAGACCTGCCCCCCCATAAAAAATTTTTTTTAAATTAGGCTGGGCATGGTGGTGGCACACACCTGTGGTCCCAGCTACTCAGGAGGCTGAAGTAGGAGGACTGCTTGAGCCCAGAAGGTTGGGGCTGCAGTGAGCCGTGATTGCATCACTGCACTCCAGCCTGGGCTACAGAGCAAGACCCTATCTCAAATCATCATAATAGAAGGGCAGAAGAGGCAGCCAGGAGAGTGTTCAGGATGCCCATTCTTCTGCTTGGGGTGGTCTAGAGACAACTTGTCAAACTTCTTGCCTTTTCTCTTCTCAGGACCGTAATAGATACAATGCAACATGCAGTCTATGTCTACGACATTTGTCATGTGGTCATCGACAACCTGCAGTTCATGATGGGTCACGAGCAGCTGTCCACAGACAGGTGACATCCTCTCTTGTCTAGCTTGAGCCCGCTTGGACATACAACACACCCTTCTCGGGCAGCTGGCCTCTAGGCACACACGGTGTGCTCTCTTATTTTCTGAAATGTGTGCAGGCACGTACCACCCCCATGTGCATCATATGGAGGTGTGGGGTGTGGCAGCAGGATGTATGGACAGGGATCTGAGTGGGTCCTTGGGTAGAAGGAGGTAGAGTGGGTTGTGGTAGTTTGTGGGGAGATATGAATGAATTGAGTCTGGGTACGTTCTTGCCCTTCTCTGTCTAATAAGCTCTTTGTGTTGCTGGGATGGGGGCAGGATTGCAGCTCAAGACTACATTGTTGGGGTCTTTCGGAAGTTTGCGACAGACAATAACTGCCATGTGACGCTGGTCATTCACCCCCGGAAAGAGGATGATGACAAGGAACTGCAGACAGCATCCATTTTTGGCTCAGCCAAAGTGAGTGGCTTTTAGAGGAGCTCAAGCTTTAGAAAGTAAGAGCGGGCAGGTGGGGCCAGGGACAGCCCTCCTTCAGCCTTAATCATCCTGACTGTCCATCTGGAGCAGGCAAGAGGCAATGCCTCTGGGGCCATGACATGAGGAATGCGTGTGCTGGGAATACAAAGGCTGTTAGTAGTTGGTTCTTTGCTCTCCTTGCCCTCCAAAAGCTCACATCCTCTCATGTGGGAAACAGTAAGACAGAGATTGCAACTCAGTGTGATAAGAGCTATGACAGGGCAGCACAAGTATTTGGAGAGCAAAGAGAAAAGATGTCTGAGTCAGCCCGGAACATCTGGGAGACTTCCCAGAGGAGGTGACAACAAAGGTTGGGTTGAGGTTTGGTAGACAATGGGTATTAGACAATCAGGTAAATGGGAGGGCCTTCTGGGCATGAGGCCCAGCACAGTCCTGGAGCTTCTAGTGATACACTGAATGCCTAATACATACCAGGCCTGGGCTGGACACAGGGAATTCAGGGCAAGGAGCACAAATCATGTGTGATGTAGCAAACATGGAGCTGGGAAAAAGAGTAATGCAGAAGAGGGGAAATGGCATGGTACTGTGGCTCACGCCAGTAATCCCGACACTTTGGGAGGCCGAAGCAGGAGGATCGCTGGGGCCCAGGAGTTTGAGACCAACCTGGGCAAAGGTGAGACCTTTTGTAGTGAGACCTCGTCTCTACAAAAACTTTTGAAAATTAGCTGGGCATGGTAGCATGCACCTATAGTCCCAGCTACTCAGGAGGCTGAGGTGGGAGGACTGCTTAAGCCTGGGAGGTTGAGGCTACAGTGAGCTGTGCTCACGCCACTGCACTCCACTCCAGCCTGGGCAGCAGAGTGAAGCTGTGTCTTTTTTTTTTTTTTTTTTTTTTTTTTTTGAGACGGAGGTTCACTCTTGTTACCCAGGCTGGAGTGCAATGGCACGATCTCGGCTCACCGCAACCTCCGCCTCCTGGGTTCAGGCAATTCTCCTGCCTCAACCTCCTAAGTAGCTGGGATTACAGGCACGCACCACCATGCCCAGCTAATTTTTTGTATTTTTAGTAGAGACGGGGTTTCACCATGTTGACCAGGATGGTCTCGATCTCTTGACCTCGTGATCCACCCGCCTCGGCCTCCCAAAGTGCTGGGATTACAGGCTTGAGCCACCGCGCCCGGCCCGAAGCTGTGTCTTAAAAAAAAAAAAAAGAATGGTCTCCTTCCTGAGATGTGACATTTAGACTGAGACCTAAATGAGAAGAAGCTGAGTTTGAATGGGGTCACCCACTGTGGAGAAGGAGAGGGAACAGCATGGGCAGTGTGTGAGCAGCAAGCTTGTCAGGGAACTGAAAGATTTTATTGGCCCCAGTATGGTGGTCAGTACTTCAAAGAGCTTTGTGATGAGGGGAAGTACTTTTCCCTCTCCCCATTCTTGTCACTCCTCCCTGCCCTGTCAGCCTTCCTTTCTGCTTTGCTCATGTCTTACTCCTGCTTTCCTCTTTCTGCCTCCTGTTCCCCAGGCAAGCCAGGAAGCAGACAATGTTCTGATCCTGCAGGACAGGAAGCTGGTCACGGGGCCAGGGAAACGGTATCTGCAGGTGTCCAAAAACCGCTTTGATGGAGATGTAGGTGTCTTCCCACTTGAGTTCAACAAGAGCTCCCTCACCTTCTCCACTCCACCAAAGAACAAGACTCGGCTCAAGAAGATCAAGGATGAAGCTGGACCAGTGGCCAAAAAGCCCTCTTCTGGCAAAAAGGGGGCTACACCACAGAACTCTGAGATTTGCTCAGGCAAGGCCCCCATTCTCGACCAGCCAGATACCTCCAAGCCTTCAAAGTGAAGGCCGTGCAGAGCTGGTCACTGAAATGAGCCTAATAGGACAGGCAGGCTGGGGCACAAAACTCTGCAAGGACTTCTGTATCCTGTGGTCATGAGCTGTGTCTGAGGGGCCTAACCTAGGGCAGGCTTCCAAAGTGAGAAAATTCAGTGTAGCAGACTACTGAGAAACCACTGTGTGCCAGGCTTTGTTCAAGGTCCTGTATATACAGCACTGAAAAGAGAGATAAGGTTTCTGCTCCCATGCATTCTAGTGGAAGAGACAAGCAAGCAATGAGCAAATAAGCAGAAAACCTAGTTTTAGTTCATGAAAAATGTAAAGAAAATAGAAATGCGGGCTGGGTGCAGTGGCTTATACCTGCAATCCCAGCACTTTGGGCAGGCAAATCATGAGGTCAGGAGTTCGAGACCAGCCTGACCAACATGGTGAAACCCCATCTCTACTAAAAATACAAAAATTAGCTGGGTATGGTGTTGCGCACCTGTAATCCCAGCTACTCAGGAGGCTGAGGCAGGAGAATCACTTGAGCCCAGGAGGTGGAGGTTGTGGTGAGATCACGCCACTGCACTTCAGCCTGGGCAACAGAGCAAGACTCTGTTTCCAGAAAAGAAAAAAAAAGGGAAAAGAAAATAGAAATTCAATAGCATGCTGGCAGGGTATTGTGGATAAGTGGTCTGAAAGGTGTCTGAGCTGAGGGCATGTGAGCTGGGGCCTAAACAAATAGAAGGAGAGAGCCACATGGACATCCAGAGAAGGGGATCCAGGAGAGGGAAAAGGAAATAACCAAGCCCTGAGGTAGGAATGAGCAGGTCAGATCCAAGGCAGTGAGGTCAGGCCCCCTGAACCCGGGAGGCATCGGCGACCTCATGCAAAACTCCAGCCTAGGCTTTCAGAGTCTAAGGGTAATATGGTGGATCCCAAGCCCCTCTGCTCCCCACTTTGTAGAGCCTGGCATGAGGTAGCAATGACTAGAATTGGATTCTAGGTGCTTAGCCCTGCAATATCAGGGCGTCACAGGTGGGAGCTGCCTCCTGCTGGGTTGCTTGGCCATAGAGCCATAGAAGGAAGCTGTCAGCCCAGAGTGCCTGCCACCTAGATACTGATGCCATTGTATGCTGCCTCAGACACCTGGAGTTAGGACGTTTTGTAGAGCCTTTTCCAGTTTTACTAATATTTTTACATTGCCTCTGTTTCTGTGCTTTTTCTTAATTCATCCACCAGGTGTCTCCCTAGTCCTTAGCTGAATTTCCCTCAGGATTGGGAATAGATGGTTTCCCTCCCACTGCTTGCAGCCTTTCAGCGGTGGGCTTCCAAGGAAGCAGGGACATTAAAGGGCCTTCACACTCCACCTCCCCTTTCCATCTCTTCTTAGCCTAGGGAAAACAAGATGGTCTGTTCTCATACCTAACTTCCCTGAGGCTCTCGAGTGATTCCTGGCACAGGTGCTGATTCCTGGGCCACATGCCCGGGCCCTCCCTGACTGGCCATTCCTCTGTGGTGTGAGCCACTCAACTCCCAAGTGGACTTAGACTCAACATATTCTCTCTACTCCCCTCCATCTCCTGTACCCTCTCCATGATTCTCTTATGTTAATGTGTGCCAGAACTCATGGAGATTTGTGAAAAATGTAGAACCTGGGCCCCATTCTCCCCCCATCCTCCACCACATGCATTTCTCATCCTGGAAATTTGAGGAGGGGTACAGTAATCCTCATATTTAGCAAGCCCTGGAGGAGACTGTAAAATAGGTGATTCAGAGGCACTGTCAGAAATATGCCTAAATGATGACACCTTCCCGTCTCTCGTCCTCTGATATCCAGAAGTCCCAGTTTCCCTTTGGATTTGCCTGAAAGAGTCGTGAGAATGCAAGATGTTCTGAGAGGGCTGGGGAGAATCCTTTTGTAAGGCTTGGGGGAAGGTTTCTTGCTCCCTCTGGAAGCAGGGCTGCCTTGTCAGGGTCTTCCTTTCAACCTAAGAAGGGCCTTCTGGGACTGGTGGAGGGGTCTGTGGTCTCTGGAGTGTTAGAACTGTGGCCACAAATGTCTCCTGAAACATGCGGAGCAAGGCTGCTGGAAAGCTGCTCTCTGTGAGGAAGAACCTGGGGGTGGGGAGAGCTCCTCTAGGGCCTCCCTTCTTGGGGGTCTCTCCCAGACTGGCTGGAGCCAGGCCTTCCTAATCCCACAGTAATCATTCCCAGCCGTCGGCTGGTACAGGCCTCATCCAGAGCCTGTAATAGTGAACGGCAGCCGTGTCTTCCAGAGGGGCAATACCAGAGGAGTCCTACCTGGAAGGATGTGGGTTCCACATTCATGTCTCCGTGGAATGCCTGGTGGGTTCTCAGGAGATCCTTTAGAGGTTTCCAGTAGGGGACCTTTGTTAGGTCTCTGAACTGGGAATAGAGGGATAGATACAGATTAGCCTGTTTGTCTTGCCCCACCCTTCTAGTAGACACCCCCTCACAGCACAAACCAGAATGATGGGGACGGGAAGCCAATAACCCCCCAGCCCCACTCCCTGCACAAATGCATTCTACTCCATGCCTGCCTTAAACACCCCATGTCATGACCGGGGCCCAGTCTATTCAGATCCCTGGATTCTAGAAAGCAGTGGGGGGTCCCTAGGGCCTATGCAGATTTCCTGGGACAGGACTGGTCTGCCTACAGCCAACTGGATGGTAAGAATCTCCCTGACTCACAGGTTCGGTGGATTGGGAAGAAAAAACATTTCAAAAAAATCTCCCTGAGAATTCAGGAAAGGCCTGGCTGAGCCGGGTCCAGTTGGATCTGCAGCCCTGTCCTCTGATGGACAGTGTGTGTCACACTTGGCTGTGAAGGGTCAGCTTTGGTCCTCCAGCAGCTTCCTCTCTGCTGTGGATGGGTTTCAGAAGCCACAACTCACCGAGGTCTCCTGCAGCCCATATGGCCCAGATACCTGTAGACCTACCCACATGCTGCCTTGAGTGCCATGGCGGGAGGGAGCCCTTGGGGCCTCCTTGCAATACAGGTCAACTTCCTGTTTGTGCCTGTGGGTGGGACTTGATGAGTCTAAGAGAAGCCCAGCCATGCCCCCTGGGAGGTCAAAACCGGCCGGCCTGCTCACCTGGGCAGACACTTACTCCAGGGAGGGGGCTGTGCTGGTCTGCTTGGGCGGCCCCAAGTGAGGTGTGTGCATGGTGGGGGTAGGTGGGAGCTACTCTGGTGAAACTCAAGTCTTCTTTGTGTGCTTCCCAGGGGTTTTCCCTGTGCTTGGGGATTGGGCCCAGAGTGGACTGGTTGGGCTCCCAACCGAGCAGGGAAGAGTGTTGGAGTCAGGCTCTATAGGCAGCTTAGTTAAGGCAGCCAGGTAGCAGAATTCTTGGTCACGTGATGCTCGCCCCCTTCCCCAGGTGGAAAACCAAGTCCGGTAAGCTGTGAAGTCAGAGGTCAGAGAGGCATCCTCGGCCACGGTCTAGCCACTGTTGGGCTGGGCACTGGGTCGGCTGTTGGTGGGGTGCGGGGCAGACCACTCCCCTCCCCGGGTGGGGGGCGCGGCCTGAGCCGCCCTGCCCCGCCCCGCTCTGCTCCACCAGGTCCGGCCAGGCGGGCGCCGGGAACCCTGAGCCCAGAGTTCGGAGCGGGCTAGGGAGCCGGCGTTGTCGCGAGGAGGCGGGCGCGTTGGAGCAGGAGAGGCGCCGGAGCTGTAGCCGAGGCGCAGGTGGCGCTGGGTGAGTGGTGGGCGGCGGAGGTGCAGTAACTCCCGCCTCCCGCACATGCCTGCTCCAGAGCAAACTTTCCGCTTCTGGAGAAGCTGGGGGTGGGGATGAGGAAGGGGGTCGGGCGCAGGCGAAGAGTCCGAACAGGGAAGCGACACGGAAACGCATGCCAACGGGTCCCCACACACGCGTGCACAGACCCACGCCCGCACTGGGACACGCGAACAGACATGCACTCGGAAAGGACGCGTCCAGTTGGCTACCCTTGCACTCCCAGGGACAGCGCCTGCCGGCGCGCGCGTACCCCCAGCGGGCAGAGCACTCTGCCGTCGCGTATTGGGTAGGGGAAAGGGGCACCCCCGTGACCAATGACGGGGGCGGGCCGGGTGGGACGCACCCAGAGGTTCCTGCTTCCTGGCCGCCCGCAGGTGAAGACCAAAACGTAAACAGGCGCGGGGCACGTGATCGCTCCGCAGATCAGTGGCCGGTGCCCCCAAACCCACCAGTCCGGGGCGCGTTTGCTAGGTCCCAGGCCGGACGGCGTTCCATTCTCCGCCTGGAGCCGGGATAAACCCTCTCCCAGGCACCGGAGCACAGCGCCCCCTGGAGCCGGGGCGGAGCAGGAGGGCCGGGCTGCTGGGCAGGGCTGGGGTTACTCGGGTTCCTGGACGTCCTTCTTCCCAGCACATTCTTGGTGTCTAGATCCCGGAGAGTTTCGGAGACAGGCCCTTGATGGCAGTGGACAGCTGCCCCTGCCTATTACCCGCAGCCCAGAAAGCAGCTGTCTGAGCGCCTGCGGGTCCCCTTCCTACCCTCACCTCCACTCCTTGTGGGATTCCGAGTCTCCTCCCCGAGAAAATTCATGAGTGTAAACGCCCCCTCAATACCGGAGTGGGCCTACCCCCCTAGCAAAAGGAGGGCGAGCTCCTACCCCCAGGGAATGAGGGAGTGGGCAGTAGCTTGATGCCTTTTCCCCGCCCCACCCCCCACCCCTACACACACGCTGAGCCCAGCTGCCGCCTGAGCTGGGCAGGCTGCCAGAAAGAGGAGGAGGCTCTCGGTGCCCCAGGAGGCAGGGATCAGGGCAAGGCCAGAGGAGGGGGCTTTGCTGGGGAGAGGGGCTCAGTCTGTTCTTGTGAAGCTGAGGGTCTGGGGTGAGTCTGAGGGTGGCTGGGCTGTGTTTCCCTTTCCAGGGAAAAAGAAAGAAAAACAACCCTGTCCATAGAGCTAAAAATAGAGCTGAGAGCCGGCCAGGGCTGTGGCCTGGAGGGGGGCGATGCTCCTTCCTGGGGCCCGGACGAGCTCTGGCAGGCCTTGGCCTTAGGGGGGAGGGAGTCGTTAGGGGAGAAAGGCTGTCTTTGCCCAGGGATGCAGGCATCAACTGACCTGACCGGGTCACCGAGACCCTTAGGGGAAAGGCTGTGCTATAGGATATTTGTGAAGCACGGCGTGTGTGTAAGTTGTCTGTGTGAGTGAATGTGAACAGAGGCTGTCAATGTGTGAAAGATGGCCAGGAGACTAACTGCATTTGAGACTGTGACTGGGTGCGAAGGACTGCGAATTGTGGAAGCCTGTCCACATCAGGCCTGTGACACCGTGTCTGTGTGTGAGATGGACTGGAAGATTATGGAAAGAAGGAACGCGGTCCCACGTGACAGCTGAGACTGCTTGTGGCTGCGTGGTGAGGCTGCCTATGGGAAAGGTCGTGTGGGT